ATATGAAATAAAATAATTAATAGAAACAATTAATAAGAGTGTTTATTACATTTTTAAAAAATTATAAATAAATTTCGATCTTAAAATTTGATGCAAATTGTAAATCGTCTAAAGTAGGATACAATTATAAACAAAATAAAGTAAAAATTTTATTCTGAATTCACTCAAAACTTCATTCATTCGAACATAACCTATTACGTTTCCTATAATCATTTATAAATTTACAAGTATTAATTACAAAATTTAATTTATTCCCAAAATATAATTTATTAATAAAGATCAATTTAGTTCTTTGCTTAAAAAATGTCTAAAATTATTTTAAAGGCTTCGAAAAAATCTTCGTTCCAACGTTTAAAGTAAACAATCAATGCCGTTAAAAATAAAACATTAAATTATTATGTAGAAATTATTAATTACAGTCACATTAATAGAAATTTTTTTACATATAATTTTAATTTAATTTTTTTTTAGTTGTAAAGATATTTTCTTTTCTTTAATTAATTTTCTTTAATTTTATAATTTGTGTTAATTAATTCTGTTAACATCAATCAGATAATCTTCATATCTTATCTACAGTTCGCCGACAAAAAAAAAAAGTTATTTATTGAACACTGTTTTTCAAGAAAAATGGCCAAAGAAGAATTCAAAGCTGAAGCCGTTCAGATTTTGTTGTTCTCTGGATCGTTTCGATCCTCTTTCGCGATATGATCAACGAAAGCCACCCTATAAATCTTCACTAATGACAATAACTTCTATGCACGAATGTCCGGTGGCTAAAATGCAAATAAAATTTTCCATGTCCCGACTTTCTCGGGAGAAAAAGAGACCGTCCAAAACAAGAAAGTCAAATGCAGGAGAACAGCAACAATCATTAAAGAATGAATTAAATTATTTCCAGATCAAAAAAAATCGCTTTATAAGGCATTATCTAGAAGATGAAATTGCATTAGCAAAGGATATCTTCTGGGCAAAAAAGAAAAGAATTTACAAGGAGGCAAACAACAAGGCGATAAAAATAGCAAAGAAGAAAAGTAAGCCTCTTCTAACAGCAAAAATACAAGATTGAATTAAGAGCAAATTTGTTTGAACGCATTAATGAGCATTAGTGCATATTAAAGCCCTTGTACACTGATTAATCTAAATGTAAAAGTAAAATGCAAATATTTCGAATTATAAAATATATATTTTAATTATAAAATATATATTTTATTTAATGATACAATAAAATGTATAGAGGAGTTCATGATTTTAATCAAACTTAAATTTATATTAAACACTTTTTGACGTCAATTGTATAACGACTTTAATATGCACTATGTATCCAGTGCGTCCGATCTATTGGGTTGTCCGGAAAGTTCGTACCGAAAATTTAAATTTTAGTATACATTTATTAAATTAAAATTTTCTGCGTTTCAATTTCCCTTCAACATCGGCACGAACTTTCCGGATAACCCAATATTAAATTAAATTAAAAAAAAATATTTTAAGACAGTAGCATTATAACAAGATCAATATTTAACAAAATTTAATATAAATGAAATATAATTATTTAATTTTATTTCATTTTGTATAAATGCTAATATTATTTTAATATTGGACGGAATAATAAAGA